CACCCAGTCTGGGTGACAGAGTGAGACTCCAACTCAAAAAAAAAAAAAAAGATGTGGCCTCAGCCATTCTGATAGACCGTCATTGAAAAAGTTTAAAAATTACATATTTCCTAGGTCTGCTCAAAGATGGAACAATTGTGATGAAAAAAATATCCAATTTGACCTTACAACCATTCTGGAATACAAATTAGTAATCTAGAGGAATGTTGTTAAGGCAATTAGATTTAATTTAGATAAGATATGAAATGTTCAAAAAGAGTTCAGTGAAACAACAGAAGATTTTCAAAAGAAAAGTGAATCATGGTATTTGTTGAAAAATAAAATAAAAATAATTTTGAATTTGTACTATCTATAGTTATTTGGGATTAACATACCAAATAAAGTTTCTTGCTACTAAAATTATTAACAAAAATTTATTTTATAAAACTATTTAAAATGATTAAAATATTTTTTAATTTTAGAGAAATTTTTTTCCTAAATATAAAGAAATCACATATGAAATATAGAAGAATTTGTATGAATATGAAGGAGACTTACCTACAAATGATCCTAAAACTAATTTCTGTGGAAACCATTCTCTGATCCAGATCATCAAAACAAAGTTGCAACTGCAGGGCATAGAAGACAAAAATATCATAGAAAGAAATCCACAAGACAAAAAGCTGGCTTTTTGAAAGGATGAATAAGATTGTTGGGCCCCTAGACAGACTGACTAAGAAATGAGAAAGAAAACCCAAATAAATACAATAAGAAACACAAAAGATTAAGTCACAACCAACCTTGAAGAAATTCAGAAGATTATCAGAGATTACTATGCACACCTGTTTGGAAATAAACTAGAAAACCTCAAGGAAATGGAGGACTTTCTGACATCACACAACCTTCCAAGGTTGACACAAGAAGAAACTGAAATCCTAAACAGACCAGTAACAGTCTGGCAAACTGACTCCATCACAAGAAATCTACCTACCAAAAAAAAAAAAGCCCTGGATCAGATGGCTTTCCAGCTGAATTCTACAGAACATAAAAGGAGGAACTGTTACCAATCTTATCAAAAGTATGCCAGGCAATCAAGTAAGATGGAATTCTCTCCAAATCATTTTATGAAGCTAATATCACACTGATACCCAAACCTGGCAAAGACCCAACAAGGAAAGAAAATACAGGCCAATCTCCTTGATGAACATAAATGCAAAAATTCTCAGTAAGATTCTAGCAAACTGGATACAACAACACATCTCAAGAATCATCCATCATGACCAAGCAGGCTTCATTCCCAGGATGCAAGCCTGGTTCAACATCCACAAGACCATAAGCATAATTCAATACATTAACAGATGTAAAAATAAGAACCACATAATTATATCATTAGCTGCAGAAAATGCTTCCTACAAAATCCAGCATCCTTTCTTGATAAAAACCCTTGAACACCTAGGCACAGAAGGAACATTCCTCAAAACAATAAGAGCCATCTATGATAAACCCACAACCAACATATTGTTCAATGGACAGAAGTTGAAAGCATTCCCCCTAAAAATGGGAACAAGACAAGGCTGCCCATTCTCACCCCTCCTATTCAACATAGTGCTTAGAAGTCCTTGCTAGAGCAATCAGGAAAGAAAAGGAAATCAGGGGTATCCAAATAGGAAAAGAGGAAGTTAAGCTATCTCTCTTTGTAGACAATACGATCCTATACCTTGAAAACCCAACAGAGTCCATCAAAACCTCCTTGTATTGATGATAAATGACTTTGGTAAAGTTTTGGGGTACAAAATCGACATGTAAAAGATAGTTGCATTTCTATACACCAGAAGTAAGCAGGCAGAGATCCAAATAAAAAGCACAATCTCTTTTACAATAGACACACACACACACACACACACACACACACACACACAAAGAAATACCTTGGCAAGGCCAGGTGTGGTGGCTCAAGCCTGTAATCCCAGCACTTTGGGAGGCCAAGGCAAGGGGATTGCCTGAGTCCATGGGTTCGAGAATAGCCTGGGCAACTTGGCAAGACCTCATTCATCTCTACAATAAATCAAAAAATTAGCCAGGCATGGTAGCACACACCTAGAGTTCCGGCTACTTTGAAGGCTGAGGCAGAAGGATCACCTGAACCCAGCAGGTCAACCCTGGGATGGCTGTGAGCATGCGTGCCACTGCATTCCAGCCTGGGCAATGGAGTAAGACTCCAACTCAAAAAAAAAAAGAAAGAAAGAAAGAAATACCTTGGCATCTACTAACTAGAGAATTGAAAGACCTTTACAATGAGAACTATAAAACACTGCTCAAAGAAATCAAAGATTACAAAACAAATAGAAAAACATCCTTTGCTCATAGATTAGAAGAATCAGTATTGTCAAGACGTCCATCCTATCCAAGGCAATCTACAGATTCAATGCAATACCCATCAAATTACCTGGAAATGACAATACAGAAATTATATGGAAACAAAAAAGAGCACCAATAGCCAAAACAATCCTCAGCAAATGAAACAAAGCAGGAGATATCACAGTTCCAGACTTTAAACTCTACTATAAGGCTATAATAATCAAAACAGCCTGGTACTGGTATAAGAACAGGTATATAGACCAATGGAACAGGACAGAAATTCCAGAAGCACAAACTCAATCTCTCAACCAACTCATCTTCAACAAAGCCATCAATAATAAGCACTGGGGAGAGGAGACCTTATTTAGCAAATGGTGCTGGGAAAACTGGCTGACTACATGCAGAAGAATGAAACAGGACCCCTACCTAACACCATATACAAAACCAACTCTAAAAGAATCAAAGACCTAAATGTAAAACCTCAAACTATAAGAATCCTAGAATAAAACACAGGAAACACTCTTCTGCACATTGGAGTAGGCAACCAATTCTTGATCAAATCCCCAAAGCGAATGCCATAAAAGATAAGAAAAATAAATGGAACCTCATCAAACTGAAAAGCTGTTGCACAGCAAAAGAAACCACCAAGAGAGAGGGGAAACAACCCAAAGAATGGGGGAAAATATTTGTTAATTGTGTATATGACAAAGTTCTTACATCCACGATCTACAAGGAGTTCAAACAAGCCAAAGGGGAAAAAAACAGCCCTATTTAAAAAAAGGGCAGAGGACATAAATTGACCTTCTCAAAAAAAGACATATGAGCAGCCAACAGATACACGAAAAAACACTCAGCCTCACTAATCATCAGAGAAATGTAAATCAAAACCACATTGAGATACCACCTAACTCCAATAAGGATGGCCATCCTTAATAAATCAAAAAACAACAGAGGCTGGCACAGGTGCAGAGAAAAGGGATGCTTCTACACTGTTAGTGGGAGTGCAGACTAGTCCAATCTCTACTGAAAATAGTGTGGCAAGCAAGGTTCGGTGGCTCAGGCTGTAATCCTGCACTTTGGGAGGCTGAGGTGAGTGGATTGCCTGAGCCCGCGGGTTCAAGACCCGCCTGGGCAACTTGGCGAGACCTCATCTCTACAATAAATCAAAAAATTAGCCGGGCATGGTAGCACATGCCTGTAGTTCCAGCTACTGGAAGGCTGAGGCGGAAGGATTGCTGGAGCCCAGCAGGTAGAGCCTGTGGTGGCCGGGGGCGGCCACTGCACTCCAGTCTGGGTGACAGAGTGAGACTCCAACTCAAAAAAAAGAAAGAAAGAAAAGAAAATAGTGTGGCGATTTCTAAAGGAACTAGAAATTGACCTTCCATCCGATCCAGTAATCCCCCTTCTGGGAATATACCCAGAGGAACATAAATCATTCTACAAAAAAGGCACCTGCACACGCATGTTTATTGCCACACTACTCACAATAGCAAAAACATGGAACCAACCCTGCCCATCAAAAGTGGGCTGGATAAAGAAAATGTACATATACACGATGGAATATTACATAGCCATAAAGAAGGACAAAATCATGGACTTTGCAGCAAATTGGATTGAGTTGGAGACAATCATACTTAGTGATCTATCACAGAAACAAAGAACTGAATACCACATGTTTTCACTCATAAGTGGGACCTGAACATTAATCATAATAGCAAAAGGGAGGGATTGGCAGTCACAGGACACTGCTGGGGTGGGGGCACATAGCAAAGGGTACTGGTCCTAAACCAGGGGAAGTAAGGACCAGTTGGAGGCCCAAGCTTCAACTGTACATAGATTACTTATGTGTCTAATCCTGACTTGTACTCCACATCTCTATAATAAAATGATATATGTATATATATGTATGTATAAATATGTATGTATATATATATATATATAAAATAGAAACCTCTGTGGTCAATGTATATGAAAAGGTGGTCTCTTTGAAGAGAAATTTAAACCAATCAAGCAAAATATTCCTATTTTTGGTTTTGAGAGTATCCCAACATTGAAAAATATTTTTTATAAAACGTAAGAAATAGCTGGGCTCGGTGGCTCAGCCTGTAATCCCAGCACTTTGGGAAGCTAAGGAGAGCAGATTGCCTGAGGCCGGGGTTCGAGACCAGCCTGGGCAACTTGGCGAGACCTCATCTCTACAATAAATCAAAAATTAGCCAGGCGTGGTGGAACACATGCCTGTAGTTCCGGCTACTTGGAAGGTGAAAGGCAGGTCGACTCTGGGGTGGCCGTGAACGTGCCACTGCACTCCAGCCTGGGCGTCAGAGTGAGACTCCAACTCAAAAAAAAACCAAAGAAATAATATCTAGATCCATAAATTCCTTTAGGAGATGGTAATAAAAATCATGTTATAAATATTAATAATATATGATAAAATTAAAATATTTTTATAATATATTCTGATAATTATCATTTATATATGCAACCCCATTGTACTGATATGCATGATATTTAAAATTCCTGGTTTGTGTCCAAATCTAGGTATTACTTTGAGAATATTGTGGCAATTACAGTTGTTACTGCCCAGCAGAGCAACATTTTTCTCCAAATGGAAATAATTTTTTGTGTGTGTGTGTGAGTTGGAGTCTCACTCTGTCACCCAGACTGGAGTGCAGTGGCCGCTCCCGGCCACCACAGCCTC